AAACGCTGTAACAACGAACGTCTACAATACTTCTGACTGCAGATCAATTACTTACTATCTTTTTTACACACGTTACATTCCCCTCTTTTATATACCAGCCTACCCTATCTAGTAAATACTAGAGCATTCGCCAAGATACGGGATAGTTCTAGAAACTAGAGGGCGTGAGAATAGTCATGTCATCTCGATGACGCAACAATAAGTTCAGAAGTGCGACCTATTTCAACATGTTAAATAAGTAGTCAAGGTAAGCTCAGTTGCGGGAATAACATGTCAAGATACATTAAGTATCGGGAATTTGTAAAACTTTTGAAGTGAATAAAATTCAGGTGTTGTAAATATTTAAACTGTTTTAACATGTTTTGTCCAGATGATTTCGTTATGGTATGATCAGTGACAAACGTTGGTTTGATACGTATATACAGACTGGTCTGTGTTCCGTAGTGGGAGGATAATGATACATGCAAGATATTTGACTGGACTACGCTTCAGTGTATTAGGTCGTCAAGAAATTAGTGTCGCTTTTTTAGATGAAAAAAACCAGAACAACTTATTTATCAAAACAAAACATTTATTAAATGAAATAGTCTCCATTCTTATCGATGATGCTTTTCCATCTTGCAGTCAGGTTGTTAGTACCCTGATTAAAGAAATCGCTTGGCTTTGAAGCAAAAAAACATGTCGATGTCCACTTTAACACCTTCCATATTTGCATACGTTTTCCCATTAAGATGGTGTTGCAGCAAACGAAAAAGATGGTAATCTGATGGTGTCATATCTGGGGAATATGGTGGGTGGGGGAAAACTTTCCAACCCAACTCCATAATCTTGTGCTGTGTCAAATGTACGTTGTGGTGAAGAAGAACACCTTTCCGATTGACGAGTGAAGGGCGTTTCTGATGAAGGGCTTGATTTAAACGTTCCAGTTGCTGACTATATATCTCTGCATTTACAGCTCGATGTGGATTGAGGAGTTCGAAATGAATTACTCGTTTGATGTCTCACCAAATGCAAAGCATCACTTTCTGCAGATGGAGTCCAGGTTTTTGGGTCTAAAGTGGTTTTTGTCTAGAACTGGGCCATTGTTTTTTGGCGTTTAATATTCGC